GCAGCTGCTGATGTGCGAGGCTTCCCCGGGGCATACATACGGTTTGGTCTGGCGCACCCCCCACGCCCGGAGGGAGTGAGAGGAGGGGGGAGGAGGAGGAGGAGGAAAGAGGAGAACGGAGGAGGGGGCGAGGAGGGGCAAACATTGAGTGAACAGGTTTGGCACTGACGTCTCACTCTTGGCACGCGAAGATCGCAGCCTGTAGCGCACGATCCACCGCGGCAGCGGACGGGCGCTCTTCGCCCTCCTTGACCTTGTTATAAAGGTGAAAAGCCAACACGACTCGTCGAATGGCGGAGCGACGAGCGAGCGGGCCAGACGGAGGGTAGAAGGTGCCAAGGGCCCACCGTTGGATCGGGTCGGCAGGGGTCGGGGTCGAGGGAGGAAAGAGGAGACCTGTGAGACAGGGGCACGTGAGGTAGTGGCGGAAGTCGTCAACGGCGTGCGCGGCGGGGCATCCGAAACGACAGGGCCGACCACTAAGGACGTGCATACGCCCCCGTGTCGTCCAGCCGCCGCACGCCGTTTTGAGGAAAGCCCAGCGCCAGGACGGTCGCACTTGAATCAGTTCCCCCCGAAACTCGCCCCAAACCTCCGTCATCTCGGCCACCGTCCTGGGCGCCGCTCCGCCGTGCCATGCGCGGAGGCGGCGGTGGAGGAGGAGGTGGAGGCGGTCCGGGAAAGAAGCGGGGAGGAGGGTGCGCGCGATGGCACGCTGGATGTGGGGCTTCCTGCGAGCCACCGATGCCTGCTGGCGCTCATCCCGCGCTGCTTGCCGCGCAGCCTGAAGATCCTGCGCGCGAAATGGCGGCAAGTCCTCACTCCCTTCCGCCGCCGCAGCCAGGTGCTGGGCAAAGGCCGTCGGGTCCTCCCAAAAACGCGGCGACCACTCTCCCTTCCTGAAATCCATGCGGAAAGCATGATCTTCCGCCGCGTTCCGCAGACGTTCCAGGGCCAGCCTCCCATCCGGGAGAGTATGCAGAGCCATGCGCATGCGCGCAGCGGTGGTCATGATCTCCAAGGAGGGAATGGCGCCTGCTGGGAACCACGCGGCCAAACTAAAAGCTCAGAGCGCGAGAACGAGCTAGGGGGGAGTTTGAGGAGCGAGTGAAGGGCTAAGAATTCCGAACGAGCCATGCGCGGCAAAGGCACGAATTGGGCGACATATGATAGAGTCGACACCGCGTGGGACGCATACAAGCGGACCGCGCTGTCGGGCGGAGCGTTGGTCGTTGGTATCTGATGGGTGCGGCTCCACCACTTCTGCCGTGGGCCGTGCCACTGCCGCGCTCGATCGGCGCCCGGCCCCACGAACAGACCTAAGTAGCGAGCGTACGAGGCAATCTTGAACCGCCCCCATTCCTCACCTAGCTGACGCAATTTTTCCGAGAGCCGACCAACGACTGAAGGCGTCGGGAGTGCAAACAACGGCGCAACTACACACTTGGCGGCCTGGAGTGCCAAGCCGGCGAGGCGTCGCGCGGCGCGGAAAGGTGCAGACAGGGGGCTCAGAGCACTGATGTCGTAGCTGACGATACCCACGTCGTCTGCGCAGCCGCCGACGGAGCCGACGTCCTTCGACGGGGAAGCCGCACAGAGCGATCGCAGGATGGGGTCCATGGCCACCGCCCACGCCACTCCAGAAGCCGGGCATCCCTGGGCAACGCCAGCCAGGACAGGGAGAAATCGAAGTCGGCGCCCCGCCAAGCGGATCCACGTCATCGGTTGGAAGTACAAGGCGTTAACCATCCAAACGTACCCAATCGGGAGACCAAACCGCCGTAGTGCACACGTGAGCCAAGTCCGGGACAAGCTCGGGAAGGCGGCGGCGAAGTCGTAGCTCGTGAAGGTCGGCATCCGCTCCTCCGCCCGCGGCAGGACGCCCGCGCGCCGTGCTTCCGCGTCCAAGGCCACCACGTGGCTGCAAAAGTTCCCCCCGTGGACGAACCCGTTTTGCGACTCGTGCACCCGCTCCTGCACCGGGCCGCGGAGCTTGAAGGCCATCGCGCTGGCGAGAGCCTTAATGTCAGTGTTCTTGAGCATGAGGGTACGCAGGGCGTCAGGTGCGCGGTGCACTGCGATGGCGTCTTCCGCGAGCTCTCCCTTGGGGATGCAGGCCATGTCCGCGTCGTTGAGGTGATAGGGGACGTCGCCGCCCGAATACAAGTGCGCTTGAAGGTCCATTAAGACTCGAAGTGACGCCGGGTACTGGAGCCACGCGTCGTAAGTGAAGCCATCTGGTCCTGGCTGCGATCGACGCCCTGTCCTCAACGCGGCTTTCACCTCGGCTTCGGAGGGCACCGCTAAATCCAAGACGTCGCTGGCAGGCATGTGCTGGTTGATGTAGGCAGCAATCTCCTCCTCGGGCGCGGGCGGTTTCATGAAGATCGGGCCCCAGTGACCCCTGATGGCGTCGAGCATGGTCTGGGAATCGGAGGCGACCTGGTCACCGGCCGACGAGTCGTCAATGCGAATGCCCGCAAGGACGACCCTGCGTCGAAAGGGGGCCCAGGCTAGGTCGCGCCGCACAGCAACGCGCTCGGCTCGTCGAAGCCCCTCGGCAGCCAGAGGCTGATTCGCGGCCCACGCTTCGCGAGCTCGGCGCGCGGCGGCTTCGCGAATGCGCACCTGCTCCGTCTCGTTGGCGACCCGGGCAACGCGAGCGAACTCCTGCGGGTCGGAGAGGACAACTGTGCCGTCCACCACGTCGATGTGCAAGGCGCCCAGGTCGGTGGAGTTCCGCAGGAGGCAAGCCACCCGGGCGTCCTGTCGCCAGCAAGCCCGGGCAATGGCCCGGAGCGTCACCAGGCGCCCCTGCTTTGCCAGCGGCGAGCGGTCGTCTCCAGGGAGCCGCTGCGAATGGTCACGGACGAACTGCGCGGCGAGCCGCATGAGTTGCTTGTGGCACTGCCAGCGCTGTACCACAGGCAGGTGGTCTAAGTGCGACAACTCCAAGAGCTGGCCGAGCTTGGCGCCAAACAGGGGGTTCTTAAAGATGAAAGCAGGGAGAGAGCGATCCGCATTCGGCAGCCCCGTCTGGAACCCCAGACTCAGCCGCACCACCACATGATCACTCAACCGAGAGTCTGACATCCCTGCTACATCTTGAAGAACCTCCGCCTGCATGTCGAGCTGCGCGAGGTCGCTCGTGGGGAGGCTGAGGAAGATTCTGTCCAGGGAGTTCGCGGAATAATGCTGGCGATCGAAGTGGGTCGGGGTATCCATGGCAACTTCCAACATCAAGTCAAACAAAGGTTGCCACGAGGACGCATGGGCATGATGGCCCACTCGCGGTCGCAGTGTGGCATGACGAGGGTTCGGATGTTCATAACTCTGTGGGACTGTTTCGCCGATATTGAAGTCATCCACTGCGATGAATAGCCGGTGCTGGTGGTCCTGGGCCGCCCACTCCACGGCCTGGCGCCAGCAGCGGCCGATGTCCTGCCGGGCCCGCTCCGGCAGCTCATAGTTGTGCACGTTGAGCAGTCGGACCTGGAAGTGCGAGTCCTGGTGGCAGAAATCGTGCAGCATGACACGGCCGCGGGCGAGCAGGATATGGCGCGCCTGGATGGGCTGCCCGGCGTGCAGGCATCGAGGCCAGAGCGTGGCCACCCCGCCGGCGCGCGCCGACAAGAACGAGGCGCGGAAGTCGTACTCAAAGGGCTGCGCATCCAGCCATTGTTTGAGTTTCACTTCGGAGCCGTGCACCTCCTGGATGACCACAACGGCCCCGCGGCGCAGGTGCTCGGAGAGCACGCGCAGCTTGCGTAGACGCCGCTGACGCCGATAGCGCAATAGCCCATTGGCGTTCCAGCTCACAACCGCTGCCCTTGCAGGAGCGCCTGCCGGGCTCCAGGGGGCGAAGCGGTCGTTAAACACGCCACTCCACCGTGTCTGCCGTGACGGTGGAGGCGCGGAACTCCCGAAGGACTGCTGGCTTGTCCAGGCGCAGATGGTCAGCGGCGCTATGGTTCCACTGGACGATGGTGTCTTCGTCCTGGCCGCGTATCCCCAGACGCACCACTGGCGTCCCCGCAGAATGGACCTCGCCGCGAGCGCGCACCGCGCGCCACGTGTGCCCCGGGGCGACCTTCTGGAGGGCCAGCTGCATCTTCCTGGTGTGGATATCCTTGCGTATCGTGGGTGCTGTCTTGTCGGGGTTGACGTAGAGGCGGACGGGGGCGTTGTCCACGTCGGTGGTTTCGAAGGTGCGCCATTCAGTACCTGTCCGGAGGGCCTTGCCCAGAGCCAGGGCTCGAGGCAAGGCGACGGGAGGCCCGCCCCGGGTGCGGAGCCAGAAGCGCCTGGCGGGGATGTTGCCATAGAGCTCGACCATCTCGGGGGTGAGCTGGGCCGCAGCAATCCAGCTAGCCAGCGCCCGCCGTACATTGTCAGGAGCAGCATGGCGAGGGCATGAGATCGAGAACAGCGTGGGGTCCACCTCCCGTTCCCACTCGGCCAGCCGCCCGATGTCGACGAGGCCCGCCTGCTGCTCGGCCATGCCCACCAGCTCGGTGAGGCGGTCGACCTCTTGGCGCAAGCGCCGTTGCTCGTCCTCGGCAGCATCGATCCGCAGTCGCTGTCCCGCGAGATGTCGGTGGCAATGCCATCGGTTCTCTCATTGAGCTGCTGGACCTGGTTCTGGAGGAGCACCGCAAAGTCCTGCTGGGCCCGTTGCAGGAGCTGCGTCGACTGCGTCTCGAAGGCTTGTGTGGCCTGACGGATCTGGCGCTGGACTAGCTCCTGGATCTCCGTCTGCAGGCCAGGGGCCATAGCCGCGATGACAGTCGAGCCAGCACCAGCGCCAGCGTGTGGAGGAAGAGCGGGGCCACCATCAGGAGCGGCTGCAGCATGCGCCCCGGCCGCGGTAGCAGCAGGAGCCGCTGGGGCTGGCTGGAGGGCGTGTTGGCGCCAAGGGTCTTGACGTCCTTGGAGGGGGTCTTGCCTTCGACGCGCGTGACCGCGTCCGCCGGCCTCAGCAGCACTCCGGCTAGCGCCATCAAGGGGAGCTGGGGCATCAGCTGCATCCATGGCGGCCATCGTGGTGATGGCCGCTGCGTCTCGGGTAGCTTGCTCCTCGGCGGCAGCCTGGGCACGGCGATGTCGACGACGTCCACGGTCCTCACGCTGGCGCCGCTCACCGCTGCGGCTCTGGTCGCGGTCCTCAGTGGAGTCCGACGAATCCATGGCGGCGGGAAGTGCCCAGAGGAAGGGCACGTAATTGTGATGTAGGTATATGGAGCCTGCGGGGGTGAACCGCAGAGGTCGGTGATTGCTGAAGAGCACGGGGGCTTTGAGCCCAAGCTTGGCCTTGAGCCAAAATGGCTTGAGCCAAAATGGCTAGAGCCAAAATGGCTTGAGCCAAAATGGCTTGAGCCAAAATGGCTACGGAGGAGGAGGAGGAGGAGGACGGGTCACCTGAGCCCTCGGAGAAACCCTCCAGTCACGAAGTGCTACGAGGACGGAGACATCGAGCGCACGCCGGCCACCGAGGGCGGCGTGCGAGCCGCCGACCGCCGAGGGCTACGGCTCCACCCTCGGGGACCCCCTGCAGCAGGGCCACGTCAGCAGAGAGAACGCAGGAACAGGCCTCGGAACAAATTAGAGAACACATGCCACATTCATCCGTCAACGCCTCCCCTTCCCCCCAATGTTCAAAGTTGGCGGTGGGTCTGATGAGATGCACTTCGACCGCAGTCTCCCCCGCGCGTGCCAACGTTGAGTTTGGGGGGGGAGGGGAGTGTTCAGTAATTGTTTCCCTCTACCGAATGTTCCTGAAGGATGGCATCGGCGACCCGACTCATGGAGTGGCCGAGTGTGCAGCCGACGTCTGCCGACGACTACGGCGTCAGCAAGAGTGCCACCCTGCAGGACGGAGAAGCTCAGCGGAAGTTTCGAAGACGGAGGGCGGCAGGCGAACACCACCGATAAGGCCACCTTCTTATGTCCCGACGTCCTGAGGGCACGCCCGAGGGAGTCCCGATGCTGGGTAGGACGTGTGCTGCGGATGAAGGCTAGAGGCAAATATACCTTTCCTTGCATGGCTTGCCGACAGTCTGTCCCAACGCGTTTCAACACCATGTGTGTGTGTGTGTGCGCAGCCCGTGCGGGCGTCGCATTTGCGCGAAAGCTGTGCGATAGACGCAGCTGCAGAGTGAAACAGTGACAACAACGGTTGAACGGTTGAAGATTGGATGATCCGCGTAGCCGCGAGGCTGTGTCCCTCGCTGCGCGCGGATCCGAGAGAGAGTTAGTGACACCGTGCATCCCATCCACCCGCGGTTTCTGTCCCAGCGAGGCCCCGTCCCGCGCCAGAGCTGCGTCGTGCAGAGACCCCGTTGAGGGTCGGCGGGTCTTTTCCCCCCATAGCCGAGCGCTGGTCCTCCTCCTTCCTCTCTTCCTCATCCTCCCCCTCCTCCTCCGCCTCAAGCAGCCCAGAATGCCCATCCCTGTTGATGAACAAATGTGAGCATGCCGCCCTGGCAAAGAGGATTCGCTGTGCACCGAGAAATGTGGTCCGCCTCAATGGCCGTAAGATGGCCAAATTACTGTTGCGGGCGCGGCACAGCTACTCCGTGCCACGCATGAACACGAATCTGGCGGAATCTTAGGTGGAAGATGCTGGAAGTAGTTTGTGTAGATCGCCAGGTGGGGCTCTCTCATGATTTGAACCAGTGCGACGAGCGTTTGGCAGCGTGGTTCTCGAAGGGTAGAACCTGGCGCGGCTGGGAGCGGATATGGCGTCGCAGCAGCACATGTGCACAGCATTCTGGATGGTAGCGCGCAGCACTCCAGCGGAAACATAAATATAGCTCGAGGCCTGGGCCGGCGGAAACGGCAGCGGGAGACGCACAACGCACGGCGGTCCCTGGAGGGCCTCGGGGAAAATGGTAACGAGCCTTCTAAAAATGCTTCCGGAGAGGAGGAGGAGGAGGAGGAGGAGGAGGAGGAGGAGGAGGAGGAGGAGGAGGAGGAGGAGGAGGAGGAGGAGGGGGAGGAGGAGGAGGGGGAGGAGGAGGGGAGGGAGGAGGAGGAGGAGGAGGAGGAGGAGGAGGAGGAGGAGAACAATCGGCTTGGGCATCCCACTGGCTCCGGGAAGACACTGGAGGATCGCACCAGATCGGACGCCACCCGATGTCGCAGCTTCGGCGGGCCCATCGGGGCAAAAGCGGGCCCCGCAGAGTCCGCCTGGGACCCCTGTGAGGCCCTGGCACGCCGTCCGAATGGCCGCATTGGCGCGAGCCGCCTGGCACTCCGAGCCCGACAGTTGGCCACCCAGGGGTGTGCCCCATGATGAGGCGCTTCGCCCAGGAGCCGGCAGCCCCTCCCGCTGGCGGGTCCAAGTCGAGGCCGTGTGAGCCGGGATGGCCACCCGCGTCGCTGGGTGGGCATTGGCATGCGCCCCCTGCGCACGAAGCTGGGACGCCAATCCCTGCTGGCGGACAGGTTTGGGCACCCCACGCACTGAGGGCTTGATTGGGCGCAGGAAAATTCGCGCTGAGGGGGCGGCGGCTTCGCCGCTGACGACGTTCAGTAGACACGCGGGCCTGCATGCCCGCCCCAGCCGAGGGAGACAAGCATGGGCGCCTGCCCCTCGTACAAAGCTGGAACGCACCCCGCCCTCACAAAAAGAGGGTCCTGCTGGCCTTCCGAGAAGCCTGGCCTGCTCTAGTGGCCGTGAAAAGGACAGACTGCCGCTGAGGCAGCGGCAGCGTTCGAGAACTGACGTTGTCCAGTAGCGTGGATACCCTTCTTTGTCGATCGACGCGCATTGGCATCCTTGCCAATACTTGGATGCCCATCCCTGTCGGTGGACAGGCATGGGCACTCCGCCCTCACAAGAAGGGCTCTGCTAGGCACTCGAACAGCTAGGCCCGCCCCAACGGCTGTGAAGTAGGCTTATTTCCGCTGCGCGCGGCCGACATCGAAAGATACTTCGTGCCACAGCCTCGACGATCTTTGCTGGCCAGTCTAGATGGAAGCTGGCAGAGAAAACTTGTGGTGATCGCCGAGTGGGGCCCGTGTGTTGTGCAAATGTGCATGTCCCGGAGGATCGTCGAGACACCATTGTGAGCGAATGGTTTGTCCCTCTCACGCAACGTCTGCGTGAACGGTGCGAAGGGAGGCATGAGTTATCTGCCCCATCGCGTCCTCGTGGGTCATAACGTTGTAGTCTGCTCGGGGCGGAAATGCGGACAGATTCATACACGCACAGAGCCAGCAAGCAAGCACGCCTATGATGTGCGGAATGCTGGTCCACACAACAGCTTGTGGCGGCATCGGGTTGGTGCACACTCGCGCTGAGATCGGGTAATAAACGATGGCGTGCACCACGGATGGAGGCAACTTGGTGAAGCGGCTCACCACGCCCCCAGCCCACTGGAGGGTTCCGAATGATGAGATCTAGCAGTGCCCAGCTGCAGCCGCGGCAGGAGAGACGAGGGGAAGCTCCTCAGGCTGTCCCCCAGCCCAGATGGAGCGTTAAGGTACACTTGTATGCTGTCCCCCTGGCTGCACTGCCCCATCGGGCAATAGGGTCAAGCTAAACCGTCGCACTCGAAGCAGGACATGGTGCTTGGGCTGGTGAAGGACAGGGTGCCAGTGGGGCTTCTGGGAAGCTTCCCCGCAATCCCGCATGTTGCTCCGTGGTTGCCCTGTCCTCGAGTGGAATAACATGGTCATGCATCAGCCCTCTGGTCTCACCAACGGGGCGGAGCCGCCCCAAAAACTTCTTTCTCGCGTGTTTGCGAGGTTCACTCCGTTTTGTGCATTGCGTACAACGCGCTCGGGCAGAATAGGGTGCCGCCGTGATGCTCGCGTGGGCCTGATTGGGTCACTTCAGTGCCCAATGGCATGACCGCCCATTATGGTGTAAACTGAAAGGGGAACATAATTTGCCCGCCACATCGTGTCCTCTGTATTCGAAACAGTGTATTCCGCTCTGGGCGGAAATGCTCTCCTCAGCCGTTCCACGGTCCGGCTTGAGCCTAAAGGGGTCTTCGCATTTGATCCCCCTGGCTGCATTGCCCCATCAGGCACGAGTCTCAAGCTGAACCGTCGCACTCGAGGCAAGACATGTCCTATACTCGGGTGGCACACCACAGTGGTACATCAGGACTCTTGCCACACCGATGAGGCTAAGGCGTCCCTAAGCCATATCACGTCAAGCATCCTCCGCCTCCTCGTCCTCCTCCTCCCATCCCTCCCCTCCCCTCCCCTCCCCTTCCTCCCCTCCCCTCCCCTCCCCTCCCCTCACTCCATCCCTCCCTGGCTGACTTGTCCTCTTCCCCTGCCCCCCCCTCTCCCCGTACCCCGTCCCCTATTCCTCTTCCCACAACCATCACTCCCCCTGCCTCTATCCCTCCATCCCTTCCCTCCCCACACCTGCCCCTGTCCCTTCCATGCCTCCCTCCCTCAACCTCTCCCTCCCTCCCTCCCTTCCTCCCTCCCTCCCTCCCTGCCTCTCACCACTCCACCCACCCGCAATCTCAACGCCATCATGTATGGCCCGCATTCGTTGGCTCCCGTTTCCAATTTGTCTCCTGAAAATACACGCGTCCTTGAGGGCAGCAATACTGTTCTGCTTCGTCAAGCATGGCTCCTGTCGCGACTGCAGCTACCACACTCATAATATGTAGATACGTGGCGGCATCAAACCTACGAACGTCGATTTTACATACGCATGGCATCACTACGATGACAACCATTAATCGAAGACGTCCGACACGTGTGCATGTAGGATATGTTTTATCCCACCAGTGAGCTCACTGCAAGTGCCACTGCACTTCCACTACACAATAGCACGATCGGGCTGGCAACCATTCCATCAGTACAATTTGGGATGCAAGTACACGCCATGATGCACATAATGGAGTTGACAGCATCACACCGTCGTTACTCGATGCATTCGACACCACACTGATCCTAGGCACTGGAGCATGCAGTCTGGATGGGCACGTGATGGAGCATGGGGCTTGCACAACTCCCAGATGGGCACCAC